TTCCGGAAAACCGCTTATGAATTCTCTAAGCTAAGCATCCTTGGCGCATTTGGAAGAATGACTATTTTCTATACAGGAAAGAAAGAAAATCTGACACGTGCTTCTGAAAGTCTTTTAAGTACTTTTGTTGACTGAGCTTCACGCCCGAGCGCAGCAAAACGACTTTAATTGCGAGAAATTTTAAAATGCGCTTTTAAAAGGACTTCAATTGAAATTTGTCTTGGATTTACGTTGGAAAGAAAAATTTAATAACATTGTCGCAAACAATAGCTGGGCGGATAAGAACAAATTTGCATTTCGGCAAGTTCAAAATCCTTTCGGATAGAATCTACTGACACAATGGGCCTCATTTTTCAAACAGATCGACTCCTACGCCAGCAGGAGTGAAATTTTGAAAAGCGGAAATTTAGAGAGAAAAAAAAGCAAAAATCATTGCGAAATACACCAGCAATTGAAAACAAGCCGCCAATCAGTTGAAAGGCTCAAGTGACTAACTATCTGTCAGCTTTCTTCACGACCTGTGATATTTATTTTCGTGAACATCAATCAAGGGATCGGGTTTTCGGCTGAGGTGAGAATTTCCAACATTTTAAAAGTAACTGTGAAATTTATATTTTTATCTTTTCTTCAATGTCCATAGAGTAAAAACTTTATCTTATGCGCTTGAAAATTTTCATTTCCCTTAAATCCAAAGTCATTTAAATTTTGAGAGACTGCGAAAAAAAGACGAATTTGACTTAAAAATATATATTTTTTTGAACAGAGCCTATTAATGCCATCAGTATCAAAAATATTTTGGACGGATTTCGATATCTTTTTGTGGAAATCTGAAGGACATTTGTTTTGATATTTGAAGCATTTCATATTCTTTGATGTATTATTTTATGTTCTCCGCAGTACGAAGTTCGATTGATTTCAAACATTCATTGCTCTGAATTGAAGTCACCAGAATCTTTAACAAGAGGAACTACTTGAGGCCATAACGGCTTCACATTTCGTCTTTTTCTGAGGCCTTTTTTCATTTACATCGCCAAAGCTTTATAACTTTTGTGTTTCATATAATATGCAATCTTCAGCTTTTTTTACAATGTTTGCCTTAATATCTTGCTGTTTTACAATTTCTCCTCGAGAGAGGAAAAAGCTTGTAAATTAACAATGTAATATAACTTTGAAAAAAAAACATAAGCCATTTCTTTTTTTCATTTCATCCTCGAAGCGTAAACATTCATCATATTGCAACTCTTTCATTTATTGATGTTTCTGTTAAATTTTTTAATGACGTTTCCATTTTTGTTCCTACGCTAGGAGCAATAATTCCTGATGTGAGCATCAAACACTTGAACCGCGGACTGCGACTTTCACCGCTTTGAACGCGAGGATTGGCCATGGGAGAGTCTTTAAACTTTACCGGAAACAATTCACAAGGAACAGATAAACTGGGAGAGCATGATCTTGCTGTTATAAGCGCCTACGTTTTTATTGTGGGAGTCCTTGGTTTTATCGGAAACTTGTGGGTGTTAATCGCTTTTTGTTGCTACAAAACTCTGCGGACGACAACAAATTTATTTATAGTTCATCTTGCTGGCTGTGACTTGATATTGGCGGTGATGGATGTGGCTTTTTCTTTTCCTTCCACTGTAAAGCATCGCTGGCTATTTGGAGCTGTTGGGTGTGAAGCGTTTGGTTTTGTTTACCACTTTTTAAACGCAATGTCTTTCAACACCCTGGCTATAATCTCGCTCGACCGCTTCTGGGTAATCACGAAACCGTCTTTTGGCGCGAAAATTACCGTGAAACGCGCGTTATTTTGCGTGGGGTTAACGCACGTGTACACACTGTTTTTCACGCTGCCAATCATTTTCGACTGGATTGGTTTCCAAGAGGAGATTTACTTCACTGGCTGTTATCTAAATTTTGAGAATAGAGACGAACGGACGGTGATATACTCCATAGCTGTGGCGATATTTTCATTTCTGGTGCCATTTGTAATCATGATCTATTGTTACTTTTCGATTTTTGCGTCGGTTCGCAAACGTGGAAAGGAAAACAATTACCTGAAAAAAAGGCGCAGGAAAAATTGCAAATTTACCCTCCCACATTGGAGGACTGCGCGAATGATCGTTGTTGTAATTTTCGTGTTTTTATTGTGTTGGTCTCCTCATGTTATTGTATCTTTGTGTGTATCGCTCGGAATCAAAGTTTCGATTTTAGTTCAAGAAGTTACATTGCTTCTTGCAAAGTCAGCCATTATTTACAATCCTTTCATATACGCTGTGCTGAATCATCGCTTCAGACACGCCTTTATTGGAATGTTTTGTCAGAACCGGAGTCAGGAAAGTAATGGCGCCGATTGCAGCCGGACGCCAGTCGCCAGTGGTGGACCTGGGTCGAGTTTTAGGATTCCTCGAACAAGCGCATCCGCCAGAACATTGTCGGAACGGTTATCCGAGAGAGAATTGGGTCGAGAGTCTGCGGATCAGTGTAGGCTAAAAAGTATCAGCTATTGCAAGAAAAGTTTGACGATTTGTAGCTCGGGAGAGCTACCTTGCGCTCATAATGTAGCACTGGAACAAAACGATCCAGAGGAAACTATGGGTAAGGCAGTAGCACTCGAAGAAATAGGAATGGATAACGACGAAGAGGAGGGAATTAGAAAGAACGATTTGATCACCATCGAACAAAATTAATATATTTAAATGTTTGATGAATTGGACTCATTCACATGGTGTTTTAATGGAGAGAGTAATGAAAAAGACGAGACAGAAATACGATATTAGTCGGTAACTCATTTGATGTGTGATGTGCGGTGGGTCATGTGTAATGTGTTATGTGTGATGTGGGATGTGAATGAGATCACATTTTACCATCAATGACAATAGAATTGTACTTCGTACCTTTTAAACTTTATCATCTCGTTTCATTTAATGTATAAACTTACTCAGTGAAAGTCACCTTTGTCAATCGATATTTATGACAAAAATAAATTACTTTCCAACTGCATCAGCGTCTGTCAATGTAGAGTCTCGAGGTCTTGATGCAATGGAAACGACTATCAAGCCACCAAAGGTGAGCTTGTTAAAAATTCTTCTCTGGAACAAGCAGCCCGACCATTTTCCGAATCTTATTTGTTTTGTAATGTTTCTCGAGCGATTTTAGTCAGTTTCGTGTTTTCTGATCTAGCTAGGTAAATCACCAAAGCTGCAGGCAAGCAAATAACAAAAAAAAAACCGCTAAAATGCAGAAAAAAAAATTAACGCCTGAAATCATTACACTTTGAACAGTGAGTAAAAATCTTCTGAAACAAATTGATGTCATCAAAGTGCATTACTATATCAATTTTTCAACTGTTAAAAGGGATTTTATCTTTTAATCCTTCCCTTAAGTGTTTCACTGAAAGCTTTTTTAAACGGCTTTCACTTTTTATCGGCGGTGCACATTGATAGAAACCAACACGTTTTTACTAGGGTGAAGGGGGAAGCGGGGCAGTGAGAGGAGAGGGGGGTTCACAAATCAGGGACCTGAGAATAGATTATTTAACATTCCAGCGATAGTCAAAAATTTTATCTTCGCGAGCTTCGTGTTATCATTACATGGTTACGTGTTAATAACAGACATTGATAAAAAGGAAGGTAGATACCAAGTATGATAAATATGCTGATGTTATGGGCAATTCTCTCAAGTAGCATACAAAAATACGAATGAAGTCAGTATGGAGAATTTATATGTAGACTTAAATATTACTCTTAACTACAGCCGGAGAATAATCGTTCGATAGCTCCCCCCCGCCTCCTCCCGATAAATCTGCACTATTAAAAAGCCTTATCGCATTTATCTTTACGCTAATGGCTTCGGGAAGATTAAAGATTGCAGGGTTAAATTTCTGTCTACCTTGTGCTTTTTGCACGCGAACTTTGGTACTCAGCTGATTGTATAAGAGAGAAACTCTTTTTTTAAGAAAGCGGGGCTTTTTAAACACTGTTTGTTTCCGCATTTTGGAAGAGGTATAATTTCCAATGCGCCAAATTTTCATCAACACAGGAAGGCGCTTAGTACTCTGTTTACCTCGGCATTTTGGCTGATAAATTGAATTTTAGCACTTTATTATGGTCCGCCGTATTTTTTTCCTCAGACTTCGGTCAGACTTTTGTTTACCTTGGCTCTCTCCCGAAGGCCTGTTAGGCAAACCATCTTTTTATTTTCCTCTTTGCGGTCTCTGATTTACATTATCAACCAAGTTGATAAATCCAAATCATCTCATAATACCCCCCACTGGTCAGCACCTCAGTTTGTTTAGAAACTAACCTCCATTATTTATGAATATAAAAACTGTGCAGATATTGAGAGCCGCTTTATCACTTTTTGATCCCTCTGATTAAAGTCTGCATTTAATCTCGAGTACATCCGTTACTTCGCTGCAAGGTATTCCGTGTAGCAGCCAGTTTCCGGATTAAAATAAGTATGATGATTTTGCTGATGATGATTCCGCGAAAAAAATAACACAGTGATATCAAACATCCCAAACCTTTATTGCTTATCGTCCGAAAAAAAGCAAAAACTCCATAGCGAATCCTTTCAGTGTCAATTCGTGTTCTTCGCGTTCAAATCATCCCTGCGTTTCACGCCAACCTGCCTAACAAAAAGATTCGCTAGTCCGCAGAATAAAATTCTCCGCAAAATTTTCAATCCAAAGGGGAGTTAGTTTCTGACAAAACAAATATCTGACGAGCAGGTTTGGTTCCCATTGTAACTCATAGAATTGCATCGGCTAACACGCGCTTCGTTCACGACGCGCGCGTCAAACGTGTTCACGAAACTCGAGAGACGCGAAAGCACTCTTCATTCCAGCAAATCAATGAAGTTGAAAACATTGAATTTTAACAGTTGATGTAGAAAACACTTTTGTTTTCATGAGACGTATTATTGTGCTAACAGACCACTCATCGATTTGTTTAAAGCAGAACTAATTTAGCAGTTTAATGAGGTCTTGTTCAAAACACAAGCACGCCAATAATGTACTTTTATTCAAAGAAATTAAAATTCCGAATGTAAAGGGACTCCGCATCTCAGTACAAAGTTTCCCTTCCCTAAATATTACCTGTAGCTATCTAAAACTAATATAAAATGATCAAAATGGTAAAAAAGCCATATTGTAATTAAAGGAGAAGTGTCCTTTCTTTGACAAAGTAATAACACACAGCCGGTTTAGACAATAAATGGTTTGTATACATAACGGAACTCTTATAGAAATCAACAAACCGCCGACAACATCAAAGCAATATAAATTCGGAAAAAGACTTTTCTGACGCATTCTAGAGGTCGATCTTCGGTACTTGATCAGAGATAAGATAAAATAATTTATTTTGCACAATTTTCCAGTGATAACCGCTAACATTCCGCTCCTCTGACCCATAAAAATTACAAACGTCAAGTTTTGAGGGTTAGCGCATTGAACCCTGATTAAGTCACGTTTTCGAACAGTTGATCGGCGACGAAGAAATCATTTTCAGTTCGCTCAAAGGTAATTAAATCTCGAAAACCTCCAGCTCTGTTCTACTGTTCCACAAAGTCACTAAATCAGAGACGTGTTCTCTTTTCTCCTTTTCCTCTTTATCTAATTCTGTTTCGCCATTATGCTGCACGACTTCTGATCCATTTCCATGACCGCTCGGTGCCAAATCCATAGAGGAATCTCGAATATTTTCAGCGTATTGTGGCGGTTGTGCGTCAAAGTCGATAGAACGACCAAACTCATTCGCGTTGTCGCTTCCATTTACTCCATCGATCTCTACTAGCGCAGAGTTCAATGTGTTAGCGACTTGTTCTCGTTCCACCCATTCGCACGGACTCTTCGTTACTACCCCGCTACTTTCGCTATCAGATGAATATTCGTGAGCTGTAGGCAGGCTATCACTGCGGGCTCTCGTTTCTCCCAACCAACTTCCGCGCTTATTCGATATACTCACAGGGAGAGGTTGGTAATTAAACTGCACAGGGCTAAGTCCAGCTGATTTCACGAATGGTTTTTCCACTCTCCTTCTCATAAAGCTCGGTATACTTGGAGGCGCCTGGACGTCCGATTCGCTCTCGCCGCTTGCGTCGGAATGAACCGACTCCGATCGCTCGTGCTTTGAGGAATGATCAAGCGAATGTTGTGAATGCATTTCTACGGAGTGAAATGGCCTTGGAAGACTACCGGCGAACGAGTGACGATAATAATTTGGAGTGGTGCGCCAAGTTTCTCTTCTCTTGACAACCACTTCGCTTTCAGTCGCTATGGGCGTTTCTTTTGATGGTACGAATGCACTTACTTCTTCATCAGTTTGCTGAGCTTCGGGTCCAGTTGTTGCTTTAGTTGCGATGACAGGGTGTTCAAATTCTTGCTGTTTCCTGACCTCTTCTTCTTCTTCGCTTACAACACAAACCGATTCGTCGCGCGCAATTTCGCTTTCAGTCACAGCTGACGTTTCTTCTGGTTCAGCAAACGAAATTACTTCTTTAACGGTTCTTTCAACTTCGACCCCAATTGTTCCTTCACTTGCGTTAACGGGGTGTTCAGGTTCTTGCTTATTCTTGACCTCTTCTTCTTCGCTTGCAACACAAGCTGTCTCGTCGCGCGCAATTTCGCTTTCAGTCGCCGGTGGCGTTTCTTCTGGTGCAGCGAATGAACTTACTTCTTCCTCGATTTGTTGAGCTTCGAGTCCAGTTGTTCCTTTATTTGCAATAGCAGAGTTATCAAGTTCTTGTTGTTTCTTGTCCTTTTCTTCTTCGCTTGCAACACAAACTGATTCCTCCAGCGCCTGAAGCGCCAGATCTGCGCTTACCGAATCGATCGTCGTGATCTTTCCATCAGCAACATCACAGTGATCTTCGCGCGCTTTAAATTTATCTTTAAGGTTAGCACTCTCCACCTCTAGTTCGTCAATCCTATTTCTCAACCTATCTATCTCTGCTTTCAATCTTTCATTCTCTTCTTTAACGGATGTTAGATCTTCCTCGAGTTGTTCTGCGTGGCTTTGGACTTCGGCTAATCGGATTTTTAAATCCGATTTCTCGTGTCCACTTTCAACTGCGCGTTTTCGTAAGCGCAACACCTCATCACTTCGCTCTCTGAGCGAAGCTGTCGCCTTATCTCGTTCCTCCATCAATACATCGCATAACTGTCGCAATTCTTCGGGTTGCGTCTTCGATGAAGCAAAATCACTTTCTTCCTGATCCAGACTGGTTGCAGATCCATTTTCATTCTTGTCTGACGTACGACTTGCGTGGCCATTCGTAAACTCCCTCGAGGAACCTTCCATTGTGTCGCCGTTAGAAACGCTGACAGTAGCAGACTGAACCTGTTCGCGGCTGTGATATTCACTCGATGCCGAAAAATCTTTCTTCCCTCTCACTTCTTTGTTCCATTGATCTCCTTTAACATCGAATTGATATTTTTCAAATTTATCGCTAAATTCTGCAGATCTCTCATCCAGATCGTCCTCCATTTTCAGAACTCTGCCGCTGTCAAATATGTACTAGCTCGCGTGGTATCTCTCTTATAATCAGTGCAACATTTCACGTTCCAACCCTCTGTCGCGATCTTATTGGCGCTATTTACGCCTGCGTGAAATTACAGCCGAATGCTCTCTCGATCAATGCCTCCTGTCTTTTCTCTGGTAAATGAATGAAAAAAATTTTTTTCCGTTAAATCGATACTGCTCGCTGTGTCTCAAACCGCGAAGGGTTGTGTTTTGCATATCCTATGTCAGCAGAACTGTTTCTGTTATACAGCTGAGTGATCGCCTTTTGTTCCCGTGAGCTCAGCCATGATAACATAGTTCGTCCCTGTTGGGTTCTGAAGCATAAATCATATCCGACTGTTGATATTTTATGCGAATTCCTGCAGCTCGGTATTGAAAACACGCGTCCCTGATATTTTTCTCTCAAACAAAAGCTCTTTTTTCGTCAACTTAAACGCATTCTTGTTGATGGTTACGGTTAAGATCAGAAATATTTTGCTCGAGTCTTCTATTGTCCTTCACGAATGTTCCACAACAACGCTTTTCATTAACCATGCGTGTTCTATGTGGCGCACGCGCGAATTCTCGTGCAGCACGCGAAGCAGCTTGGCTCGCGCGCGATGTTTGTTATGATTGGAACTCTTTGAGTCACCAGTGCTGTCTTGCAGGTGTTACATTATTTACAGAGCTGCAGTGGAGTGCCTCTGCAGAATCTTTTGGAATCGTAAGATAAAAGATTTTTCGAAGTGGTTTATTTACGGTTTATATCGTCCTTCTAATTATTTGTGATAGCTTTGATTTAACACCTGTGGAAAATCTCCGCGCCTTTTTCGTCGTTCCCGACTCATTTAAAAAGACAAAAACATTCCCACCTTGTTAGCACTAAATTAACGTAATGGTCTTACTTTCAAGTGCAATAACGATTTCCCAGTGTCTCAACAGTTCTCGAGATAAATCATACCCGAGTTCAACTTTTTCCAACGCGCTCATCACCATTTGTCAATTCAATATCTCCCCTCACCGGTACCGTAGCGCTGAATGCTCTTGCGTGTAGTTCCCAAATCAATATGTTTGTGGTGCATTTTAACGACTCCCGATGCAAAACCTCCTTTTAATTTCCTGAACCCTGACGTTCGGTTTCCAAATTTTAGACTTTGTTACCATTCAATTGAAGTTGCGTCTCTAATTGATGAGCCCGATCTTGACAAAAATAAATTTCTTGTTCTAACCGGTTTCCTCTTTCCAAAGAGCTGGAACACAAAGCATCCAACTGGGCAATCCTCCTCCACGTTTCAAAAGACTCTTTTGAAGGATCGATCTTTCTCTTTTCCGGCTCTTGCACTGCAGCCCCAAAATTTCCTGTTTCTTTCCTCGATGTGTCGCGCTCCTTACAAAACCGTAATGACTTCCTGTAATATGCCATGAGCTCTGCGAGAAAACTTTTTATCTCTATTTGTTTTGAGAGCGATTCCAGAGAACGAGACTATCTTGTCAGCTAGAATTTAAATTCTTGAACTATATTGCACTGGACAATTTCCGTTGCGTGTGACAATTTTACGAGAGCGTATTTAAGAGTTTTGTTCCTGTTTATTTGGACAAGAGTGGTGTCAATCCTGCTGTTTTGTGGTCATCTCATCTGAAATTCTACCCACAAAGTGCAACCACGAAAATACGTGAATTGGGCAGTTTTCCTCTTCATATCCTTTCGCTAATCCCTTAATTACTAAAATCTCATCAGTGGTTATCCTTTCTTACTGCCATGCAACTCTTATGATGTAAGTTCAAAGAAATTATTATTGAATCAACTAATTATCCCCTAAGTTATTTCTTTCCATTCTCATCACCTGTCTGCTTGATATTGTATTGATATTGTAAGGAGAAATTCTGTCTTGGTCATTCATAAAAGTGAAGGGGTTGAATATAACAGGAAATCCTCAATGATGCTAAAATATCCCAGTTCCGCTGTCCTTCTTTTGCTGATTACTTGGAGGAGAAAAAAATACCTTAGAGGATAAGTCGATGACAAACAATGACAAAGCCGCCTGAACTAAGAGGAAGTGCATCGACTCAAATGATGTTTACAAATGACTGAGCTTATCAACAATCGGTAAAGGGATCTAATGAATAAAACCAAGATCAAGCAATGGTATTTCCTAGTTCTACATTTCCGATTTGATAATCACTTGGAGGAAAAAATTATAACATGGAAGAGAAAGTGATTTCAACGATGACACAGCAGCCGACAAGCGGAACTAAGGACAACGCATTTTAACCTTTTAGATATGTGTATACCGGTGAGCTGACAGATATAATTCAGATACAAGTACAATAAAGAAACCAAAACTAAAACTATTTAAGACGTTAAAAATTGGTTTTATGAACTGAGTTTATTATGAAAATCGGCCATCGTAAAGAGTTGTGGTCTAAAGTTGACCTTTCCAGCGTTAGCCCTTCGCCAGCTATATAAACCCAAATTTTCTAGGCTAGTATGTACCCGCTTACGCGGCACCAAAGTTTGCTTAGAAACTTTCCCCGTTTCAGTTACATGAGTTTATAGTCCGAAATAAATAAATATTTATATCTGAAATGAACTGGAAGAAAATGAAATTTTTCTGGACTGATAACTTCAGGAGGGTCCTTCTAATTTAATACAACTGTTTCCTGGCAAGCTTAAGCAAAAACCGGATTCTCATAGGAAGGGAAGGGAAGAGGAGGAGGGGTGGGGGTGGGGAGAGGAGTTGTGTCATAATCGAAACAGTCAAGTGTACTCCAGAACAATGTATAATTTATTTACCAAGTACGAAATCATTTACCACCAATGACAAATACAACAGCAGTGAAGCTGAAATTGGCCAAATATCGCCTCCCTGCCCGTAATTCGCATGCTCCAACATTCCGCTATCTGATTACAGGTCTTTCCTGCCTTATACAGACGAGCGGGGATTAAGGACCAGAAAGACCAGAGAGATAGTCAAGCGATAATTGGCCAAGACGGTAAACATGGCTATTACATCTAATGGGCCAATCAGATGTTTCAAATGACACCTGATAAAATCTTTAAAGTTCTACAAGATGTAACGTTTCATGTAAGGACCTGCGTTATCATGAAGACCGCTGGAGCATGGGATCTATTCGTACTTGTAAAACCCTTCCCCAGACTTTCTCCCAAGCTTGTTGCGAGCGACCAGGTCATTTAAGATCTCGCTAGGACTGAAAAGAGGTTCAGTCGGATACTTCTCGTGCCAACCTGAACAGAAAAATAACAATAATAATCAACAAATTAATGACATATTTTGCACGTCACCTTTTTTTTTTTTCCCTTTGAAGCTTGCAAGTAACCCTTCATTATTAGCGCTGCAAGACGCGCGTTTCTCCGCCCGCGGAAAGATTTGGGACAAGTCAGGGAGGGGTTTGCTGAGGATCTGGCACTAATAATGCTAGACCCCTTGCAGACTTCTTGCTGGCTCGCGTTGCTCATACTTTCCCGCGGGCGAAGAAATGCTGACTGGAGCGCTGATAACGAGAGCGTGCTCGCACGCTAGGTATTTTTTTTACGATTGCAAAGCCTTCAATTTGAGGGCATTTACTTGGTCATAGAAGAATTTATCCACTAATTTCAAGAAGAGCTCGTAATTTGAATTCTAATTTCAAGCGGTACCTACCGTCAATAATGAACTTAGTTGTATCAAGTCCAACATAGTCTGCCAACTCCAGCGGGCCCATTGGGTAACCTAACACCAAACAGATAATAATTTAGAACGAAATTAAGACAAGCATAAATTACTGCTACACTCTTCAGCGCGCGAGGGGCGAATTTGGCTCCACAGTGTTCCCCTCCAATTGGTTTTGAATAGAAATCGCAATTCTTTACACTGTTTTAGGACACGCAAAGTCTTTCTCTTTCTTTTCAAAGCCCGCAGGTGCATTCATTTGCCGTCAAATCCCGCGCATCATTTTCTACCCTTTCTTTGCACTGGCTAACTCCTCCTCCATTCAGTCCACCGCATTTTAGCTAAGGGGCTCACGGGGAGATATTTTGGAAACAGAGGAAGTATCCAGAATTTTGTGTTCACATTATCCCCTTTCAATCGGAAAAATTCATCGACGGAAAAAATAATAAAGCTAAAAGCGTTCACGAAGCCCGTTACTCGATGATGCAAATCATGACCTTGAAAGCAACGACTTGAGGAATTTTTTGAGTTGATGTCATTTGAAATTTCGTGATTTTTCCACAATTTAAATATCAAATTGCTTCATACGCTCGAGACTTTCCACCTGTCAAGTTTTTTTTTTTAAATTGTTACTTTAAAAACTCTTACTTCCAGTTACCGCAAAATGTACCGTGAACCGATGAAATAACGCGCGTGATTACTGCCAATACAGGCGTGAATGGGTTAAGTTTAGACCGTCATATCTCTTAAACAAGCACGGTGACCTATCTTTTTTATTTTTCCAAACAGGTATTGGCAGGGAACATTTAAGAAAAGTTTAAAAAACATTGTTCGATAACTTTTTTTCTTACATCTGCTAAAATAAGCAAGAGTTTCCACTAACTATACTTGTTGATGTTTATATGTGTCCAAGAAATCTGCACTTTTCTCTTAGACCGAAAGTCTTTGCTTAGTTTCCCTTCTGGATTAGAGGTCTGTGGGATTGAAATTGAAGTTTGTAATGTAAAATACAATTTCCTACCTGCTCCAAGCTTCATGGCTGTATCGATGTCTTTTGCGGAGGCATCGCCTGAAAAGAAAGAAGTCTGTAGTTCGTATGATGCACTGACTAATTTTTTTTTCG